AGAAGATTTTTAAAGAAAAAATGCATTTTCACTATATAATCTATAGAGCCGCGCCCTAACACTGGAACTCCTGACCCTAGGGCTATAAATTTACAATTTTGGAAAAGGCACTCTTGCTCATCATAACTTTATGCAAAATTATTTTAGTTTATTAAATACTCAGAAACAGAGAGGAAGATTTTAAAAGATTAAATGCATTTTCACTATATAATCTATATAGCGCCGCCCTAACACTAAAATCCCTGACCCAGGGGCCATTAAATTCACAAATCTGGAAGAGGCACTCTTGCTCATTATTACTATGTACCTAGTTAGTTTATTTAAAACCCAGAAGCTGAGAAGATTTTCAAAGAATAAATGCATTTTCATTATCAAAATCTATAGAGCCCCGCGAAACACTAGAACCCCTGATCCTGGCGCTATAAAATTTACAAATATGGAAGAGGCACTCTTAGTAATCATAACTATGTAATTAGTTTATTTAAAAACAAGAAGCAGAGAGGAAGATTTTCAAAGAATGAATGCATTTTCACTATATAATCTATAGAGCCACGTCCTAACACTAGAACCCCTGACTCTGGGGCCATAAAATCAACAAATGTGGAAGAGGCATTCTTGCTCATCATAACTATCTAATACCCAGAAGCAGAGAAGAAGATTTTCAAAGAAATAATGCATTTTCACTATATAATATATATAGTCCCGCCCTAGCACTAGAACCTCTGACCCTGGGGCCATAAATTTCACAATTTAGGTAAAGGACTCATTGCTTATTACATTCATGCTAACAGTTTGTCTGCTTGATGTCAGGGAGTAAAGAAGATTTCTTAAGATTGCAATAATTTTAGTGGGTTTGGCCCCACCTTTCAGGCCCCAGGGACCATGAAAGTCACAATATTTGTCCCCCTTCATCCATAGATGCTGCATACCAAATTTGGTAGAAAATGGTTCAGTGGTATCAGAGAAGAAGCTGAAAATGTTCAAATGTTAACACACAACGATGGACGAAAACATATGGCAATAGGTCACCCGAGTTACTCAGGTGACCTAAAAATTGCACAAGACATTAATTTTCAATGGAATTTTCTTTCAGAAAGATTTTGATGTATATGTTGAAAACTAATACTGACTCATTGTGCGACTTTTTGTCTGCTTTTCATAAAACTGAAACTTATTCCAAAATAGCTAATGGCAATATTTTATAGGTAAATAAAGCTATATAGGTAGATATACCTATATAGCTCAATATAGTGATTTTCCTGGACCTGTTTATAGCATTTTATATATCCAGCAAGAGGCCAATGGGCCACATCGCTCAGCTGAGTAACTTAGCTGATGCAGATCTTTTTGTTCTATATATATTTCTATGTAAAACTTGGATTCCCTATTGTGGCTCTGCCCTACCCCCGGGGTTCATGATTTTAACAAATTAATATCTACACTACCCAAGGATGCTTCCATATCAGTTTCAGCTTCCCTGGCCCAGTGTTTTCTAAGAAGATTTTTAAAGATTTGTTCTATATATTTCTATGTAAAACTTGGATTCCCTATTAAAGCCCCGCCCTACCCCCGGGGGTCATAATTTTAACAATTTAATATCTACACTACCTAAGGACGCTTCCACATAAGTTTCAGCTTTTCTGGCCCAGTGGTTCTTGAGGAGAAGATTTTTTAATGACCCCACCGTATTTTTGTATTTTCTTGATTATCTCCCGTTGGAAGGGGTCTTGGCCCTTGGTTAAAACCATTTAAATTTCCCTTCACCCAAGGATGATTTGCACCAAGTTTGATTAAAATTGGCCCAGTGGTTCTAGAGAAGAAGTTGAAAGTGTGTAAAGTTTACAGACAGACGGACAACGGTTGATCAGAAAAGCTCACCCGAGCTTTCAGCTCAGGTGAGCTAAAAATGAAAGTGGGCGACAGTGGGAAACAATTTTTAAAGGAAAATTAGGAAAGAAACGTGCTTTTCTGCATTAAACTTAGAAACGTACCAAATGACGTCATATTTCCAGAAAGCCTCTCCTTTATTTCATATTCTTTAACGATTTATCATATTCATCTTCTCAACTATTGTTAATGCTAATTTCAGAACTTTTTAAAAACAACATTTTTAGGGCACAATAAAGCTTAAACTGTACCCCCTTGTGATAAAAGCAGGATTGAAGAACTTTGCAATGAAACATCCAGACGTAACCTGTAATATTGGCGACTTTAGTGTATGTAAACTGTAAGAGTAATAAATACATCTTCCCTTCTCATCCCTCTTTCTGTCTTTCACAAGAAATAAAAGACCAAGATATTGGGGCCCTGAAGTGTTGGTAGCATAAATGATAAGTAGAATTATAGGCATTTCTATCTTGGAATAAAGTGTAGAATGTTCTTACCTTTGAGGATTCTGTAAGGCGGACAGTGTCGCCGATGGCTCCAACATTAGTGCAGAAGTAATATTTTCCCTTTTCAAGGCTGTTTTCAAAGTGCTTCAGCTGTGGAAAAATAATTTGTTTGACGGATTTCTCAAGGTTTACAAAGGCCATGGTGATTAGAAAAGACCCACGATCGTTTTTCCGCTTAATCTTTTCTGTCAAAATGTAGACTTTTGTTCTCATCATATGTGTGGCCATCATTCCTTTCACTGATCTTAGCGCGGGAATTAATCTGACGCTCAGGTGCGGCGGGAAAACCATTCGGGTCTTTCCGTCGGAGGTCGGTGAAAGAACCTCAAGCCTGGTCCACTGGCTCATCCTTACAGTGACGCGGAGTGTACGAAGCAAAATAGGGACAGGGAACCAGGCTTAACAACCTCGTGGTTTATCCGCTTGTCAGAAAGTACCGAAAAATTGTGAATTTTATAAGATGTAGTCAGCTAAGGCCATCCGAATGTTTGGAGATGAAAAGATTACGGAAAAATAATAAAAAAAAAATAATTATAAAAAAAGATGAAGAAATGACACATTTTAGTGTCAAGCTTTATAACATAATAATTATGTAAAAATGATTTTAAATACCTTATATATAATTATCTGTAAGCGATATGAATGTGAATTTCATAAATTAAATGGCCATAATATGCAGTTTTTCTCTCATAACCTTTGACAATTGGATGTTTAGGGCCTAGTGGAGAGTTTTTTTTATTAAAACAATCTTTTCCATTAAACATTGTGAATTTTAGTGAATGCGTTTAAATGACGGTACTGTTAACTATAACTTAAAAAGATAAATTGGGAAAGATATATATACTTTTTAAATTAAATACGTTATTGAAATATGTGAAAGAAATAAATTATTTATACCAAAGATATTTTATAAAATACAATTTAAAGTGTGATTTTAAAATAACAGGATTAACACAAAAACGACGGGGGGTGTCTTTCCCTTTACTGTTTTTGACCATATTAAAAAAATACATGTATTTTACCAAAGGGGTGACACTGTTTATATACTGAAGTAACAAATGTGACAATTGACTATTGTCTTCATTAACATGCTATATATATGATTACAAACCCCTGGCTTTAAAATCATTTGGGCATTATATATATTTATATTAAATCCCTTTTTTGAGAAAAAATATCTTTCCAATTTATATTGATCAATATTTTTTTATCATATTTAACATTTATGTACTCTCACGTTCGTCTCGCGCTATGTGCATATCGTTCCGAGGCTGTAGATAGTCGTGCGTTGGGAAGTCTAGTTTTACCCTTGCCCGAATGTGACGTCATTGTCATTTCTAGTGTTTGTAGCTGCAGTAGACAGAGACTTGCAGGTTACACTTAAGGTATCCGACCCATATTAGGATCAAAATTTGTTACCTTAAATATCAATTGTTTGTGAAATATCCTGATATTATTTTACAGCATTTTAGAGTAGAAAGGGGTTTACCAAGAGAAATTTTTCAAAAATTTTTTACCTAAGCAGAAATTAATTATTGACGATTGCATTGAAGTCTATGGAAGAAAGTAAGTTTTTTAAGATAAAAAAATAAATACTTCAAATATTAAAAAATGCTCTGGTGGAAAGATGTATTCGATCATTGGAAATAGAAAAACAATTAGAAATAATTTTTTTACCCGACAGATTTTTTTAAAATTAATTTTTATTGAGTAAAATCAAGGGGAAATAACTCGTCAGAGGCAGGAAAAGGTCATAAATTAGGACATGTCCAACTCTTACATTCTTATACTAAAAGATGAAAATTAGTTCTAACTACACTGATTATTCAGCCCATACATATCTGTTATGCATTCATTTCCATTGAATCTGAGGCTAATATGGATCAGATACCTTAATAGACAGCAATCTGACATCGTTTTTGGAAAGATTTCAAGAAAGTCTTCAAAGATCCTTAGAGATAAGATTGTTATTAATTCCAACTTGCTGCTCGAGCCTGATCAAAGAGATTTAAGGTCAGACGACACGTTCCTCAAATTTATATAATCTATATATAATTTTTTTTAAGAATTTGTCATTGAAGTATAGGTACTAAAACAAGTTTCCTCACAAAAAATTAGGATACCTTACCAGGCATTTGAACAAGATACCACAAGGTCATATTTCTTATCTAACCCTAATGGATAATGTTAAGAATGGCCTTTTTCATAATTTTTGGTGTACTTATATTTTAAAACATTCTTAAAACAGTGTAAAAATAAGAAGAAAATGACAAATACAAATAATTTTTGATATAATACCAAGAATTACAAAAGATATATTTGAGGAACGTGTCGTCTGACCTTAAAGTAAGTACTTGGTGTAGGCATATATTGAAAATTTTCGTTCGTCAAATATGGCGACCAAGGGAATTACTGATGGATTAGTTCTTTTCTTCTTCATTTAAGAACTATTGCCACAAACGCATGGAAATTGATGTTGTCGACTCGTCAAATAATTGAATTAAAATATCATTATGTTGTTTTATTTAGGCCATTCCAATATTTTGTATTTGTGTAGCATCCACCCCAAATTTGAAAAGCTATCTTTCTAAGCTGAATAGGCTCTATTCACGCGACCGAACTTCCTGTTTTCAAAACGAGGCTCGGCGTACATACCAACCGCAGCAGCAGCATGGCGTCCATGGCTGTTGAGAGAAAGTTGAGTTCGGCGTCCCATTGCTGTGTTCCGCTGTGCAATGGAGACAGTAGACAAGATTTTACACTGTCTTTCCATCGCTTCCCGAAAGATGCAACCCTTCGTAAGAAGTGGATTGTCAAAATAAGGAGAGACGAAGGGCCCGACTTCCAAGTAAGTTTATTCAAGGTCAACGAGTACTAGGCCTAATGCTAGGGAGTAGGCCTTTTAACTGGCCGAGTGGCGACTTTTTTAATTTATAGACAAATTAAAACTCATAAATTGATTAAGAGGTGTATATTGTTTAATAAATATTATCTTTATAATTTTAAATTTAACACAGACTACGCTTGTAGTTAATCCGAGATTCCTCTATAGTCTAACTCTGACTCCCTCGGTCTACAGGTCTAGACTAACTCGGGGCCTGAACAGCCACAATAGTTTGTATGAGGTCTTAAAGGTTATGAAAGACCTTCCAAAAATCTCTAGATACAGTCTGTTTACAAGATATTTAACAAAATATTAAGCTTGAGCCTTTGATTTTATAACACTGAACAGCTAAAGTAACCTGATGTTTCAAAGGGGGGGGGTTATATTCTGGTATGCAGTTTTCAGTTAAATTCATTGTTCTTTCCTGTATATCATTTGTATTTATCCCATGTTTACACCTTTATCCCGTGAATATAGTTCATGGGATATCGTTTTCATATCCCACAGTAATGACGTCACAATGGTTTTTGCGTCAGCGTGTGGAAGTAAAATACAGCAGAGTCCTATATGAAACAGTGTTAAACATCGGTTGTGAAGTATTAAACATGGGATAAAAAGAATCTCCCAAGGCTCGGGGATAAAAATCACACAACTCGTTGGATAAAAATCATATCCAACTACAAATCATGGGAGATCCTAAATATATAAGATATACAAAAATATTTTGTCATGAATTTATTAAGAAAAAATAACAACATTATGTTTATGTGTTGGGGTAGGTGGGTCCTTGATAGACATTTCCAGTATAGCGAGTTCGAACTCAGACTTGGACTTTGCCTGCTGATAACATAGAGGGGTCGTGTGAAAGGTTGAAAATTCTTACTAGACGATTCCTTTCACCTTTTCGTACCCTCACCCAAATGTTGTGTTTTAAGTTGTTAACATATTTTTTGCCAATAATGATTTTTTTTTTATTCCAGATTACAGACTCTACTTTTGTATGCTCCAGGCATTTTGATTCCACCGACATTGTGAAATCTTTAACTGGTATGATATTTGAGGCTCAATAAGCTACATGTATCCCAGAATTGTCTTTTCAATCATTATATTTCATGAATAGAAAAATTGACAGCACAACTGTTTGTATTATGAATTAACTCATTTTAAAACTAATTTATTTTTTAGTAATTTGATAATGAGTGGGTTTTTTTTAATAAACCATGCCAACTTGTACAGATAAATTAAAAGAACAACTTGTATGTTTAACTTGAGCATGGATAGGATATTAATTTAAACATTTTGTTGCACTTATACAGAATTTGACATTTAAATATGGTTGATTATCAGACTAAATTGAATACTGTATTGTAGGACTCAGAAAATTACGCCCTGGATGTGTACCCAGTATATTTCCCTGGACAAAGAAAGAGACACCAAGAAAACCCCCAAAGAGAAAACTCTCACTTGATTGGTATAATATGTTAATGTTGTTCAGTTATTGAGAATAGCATTGAAATGAACAAAATTTTAATGTAAAAACAAGTGAATATGATATATTTTTTTCTATGTAGCTTGTAACACAAGCTTTGACTGGTTAAATATTAGGAATGTAAATTTCCATGCACACCACTAAATGTGATGTCACAATGTTTAATTTTTCTATGATAAAATGCAAATAACATGACGTCACAATGCATTGAAGTACTGTACAGCATGAAACTATAAGCATTAATACAATATATATTATCCTTATTATGAGCTATATTACTGCTACTTATAATTAAATTTTTAGCCTATGAGATTATTTTGTATATCGTATGAATATCTTGTTCATAAAATGTTTACTTTATACAGTATTTATATTGTCAACATTAAACTTTACAGTGATGATGTGAGTAAAACAAGAAAAGCATCTACAGCTACCTCTGCTACTTGTTCCTCTTACACAGAACCCCCCAGTAAAGAACATGACTACTGCGCTGAGAAACCATCACCAGAAGAAGATATGGAGGTATGCTGTTATAACTTAATTTGACTCTAGTATGGTGTACACTTATCCAATAGCTGTTTGTGGATAGCTCTCATCAAACCCATGACAGAACTCCTCGAGGGTTTGCCCAAAGAGAATAGTTCCTGTCAATGGTTTGATGGAAGAGATATCTACACACAGCCAGTGGATAAGCATTTTTAGCTCACCTGAGTCGAAAGCCCCCCCAGTAAACTTTCAGTTCTGATCTGATATGTCCTCATTCCTAGCCGATGTGCTCAGGTGAGCGCTGCGGTCCCTTGGCCTCTTGTATTATACTGCAGTGTCAATTCATTTATTATATACCTAATGCGTATCCCCAATTTTAATGTTGAATTTAGGCAATCACGTGACATTGTGATCTGACTTTCCTGATCACCACACTGGTTTTCTAAATCCATATCACCACTCTCTGAAACTTATGATGTAGTACACAGAAACATGACGTTATTTTTCTTGCTCATCAAAAAGTCCTTCATATTAAATATAATGTAACTGATCTCTAAAGGGGAATATAATAAATTTTACGTCTCATTGACAGACGCAGATCATCAGATCAAACAAGAAGCCTGTGAACGAGATGTGATACAACCCTTCAGATCAAGTTACTGTCATAATAATATGTATGCATCTTACTGAAAATAACTGTACTGAATAATGCTATGAGAAAACAAAACATAAGGCATGATCTGATTGTGAAGAAAGCATATTATTTTCCACATATAGGTGAGATTTTTTGTGCACAAGAGTGAAGCGTCGTAATTCATGTCCTCATGAATCTTCAAAAATTAAATTCATTTCTTTAATTAATAAAATCATTCTGTAGCCATCAGTAATTTATGTAAGTGTGTGTTTGCCACTGCATTGTAAAAGTCTTAAATATATTTCAGGCAATGAGACATGAAATTGAAGACCTACAAGAAAGAGTAAAGCACCTAGAAGAAAAAGTGGAGAAATTTGGAGCCAAAAGATTTTGTAAAGATCCCATTTTGATATTTTTTTACACAGGTTTTCAGAACTATGAATTATTTTGTACAGTTTTTAGTGTTGTTGAACCAACAGCTTCGAATATGATTAGATGGTCTCAAATTCAAAGAAACCGCAAAATTGTTTGTAATCCTTTTAGATCTGAGTCTCTGTCTCTGGTAGACCAATTTTTTATGTTTTTATGTAGAATACGACAAGGTTTTTTTGAAGAGGATTTGGCACAACGTTTTTCTGTGTCTCAGAGTACAGTCAGTCGCATTATAATTACATGGAGTAATTATTTGTATTGCATTTTAGGTTGTATACCTATTTGGCCATCTCGAGATATTGTAAGAAATTTTTTGCCTGCCTGTTTTAAATGTACATTTCCTAATACCAGGGTTATATTAGACTGTACGGAAGTTCGTGTGCAAACCCCTAGTGCCAAAGTTTTGAATTCGCAAACTTATTCAAATTATAAGTCTCACACTACATTTAAGGGTTTGATAGGTATCACACCAAATGGTGCTGTGTGTTTCGTCAGTAAATTATTTACAGGAAATATTTCAGACAAAGATGTTACTCAGCGTAGTGGTATTGTAGATTTACTTGAAAACGGTGATGAAGTTATGACAGACAAAGGTTTTTTGATACAGGACTTGTTAGATCCTATTGATGCTAAGCTTGTAATTCCACCATTTTTGGGAAGCAAGGGAAAATTTAGTAAAGAGGAGGTTACTCAAACACAACAAATAGCTAGATTGCGTATACATGTAGAAAGGGCCATTCGCAGATGTAAAGAGTATCATATATTTGACCAAGTCATACCATTGTCTATAGCCGGTACTGTGAATCAGATATGGAGTGTTTGTTGTTTGTTAACAAACTTTCAAGGGAAATTGTTTTAATCCTTGATCAAGTTTATCTTTTGTAATTTGTAAGTAATGTTTGTGTTCTGTAAATCTTTAGAATGTGAGTATACTTGTATTCATTCTTTGTGTTTATGATTGAACACTTTAGTATTAATCAGATTTGTTAACAGAATTCAAAAACAACACAGGAATGTTTTATGTAAACTTGTAATAGTACTTTGTCACATCCAGTTTAAAGTCATGTACTCACTTTTTTTAATTTTTTACACATTTTGGGAGAAAGTAGGTAAAAAAGAACATGTCAAGTTTATCTTTCATCTCTTGCCATTTTTCTGCTATAAAGTAAATTCTCTCGAGATGATAATCATCTCGGCACCAAATAAATAAGTCACACCAATGTGCACCTGTTATACCCATTTGTCCCATGATTTGAAAATAATAATCGTGTGTTGTTTTAAGTTTGTAAGTATTGTTAACCAAAGTCAAGTAGTTTAGATTTGTTATTGAGTCAGAATTTGGACACTTAATTTCTTAAAGCCCATGCATGGGAATGGCATTTGAATCAATGACCTTCCTGTCTGGTGATGTGCCTAGATGGCATGAAGAAGGATTTATTGCAAATCCTGCTGCAAATACATTGCTTCCAGGTATGGAAGCATAGGACTCCGCAGCCTCGTTTTCATGTTCTAAACCATACTTCATGGCAGCAGTTTGGATTTTATTGCCTGAAAGGAGACGATCAGCTAGTGTTTCATGGTCCTTTTTTCTAGAACAAATTCTTTTAAAACATGATGATGTTAATCTTGATTTTCGAACATTTTTCCAAAATGGATTTTTTGATTGATCGGTAGTATTTCCTTCAATGTCAAGCGACTCACTTTTGGAAACGGTTAGTCCATCATAAATGTTTTTTTCACCCATTGTTAGAACAGTTTCAAAATTTTGCAATAATGTAGGAAATTCATAGTCTGGATAGGTAGGAAAAGCATCATTGTTGATAATAGCATCTGATAGATTTTCACATGTTTTTTGCTGATAAGATAAAATTGATCCCTTTGGAACAGGTCCAACTTTAGATTCAACTGTATCAATATCATCAATGAAAGGTGGCAAGAGAGTTTTAAATTGAGAATTTGTAGACTTTAATTGTTTTGTTAAATTGTTAACAATGTTTTGAAAGGGAATTGGCTGCTGTAATGGGCAATAAAATGTAGATTTAACACCATCAGTTCTCTTTCTTTTTGCATTAGAAATTTTAAGGACTTGTATGTCCTCCACTGCTGCTGGTTTAATACCTTGTGCCCTTTGTGGTATGTGCCAGGTCTGAGGCATGGAGGTCTTTGAAATGACAGAGGGCACAGTTTTCAAATCCAGTTTTTTGTAATGACATATAAGGTAAAGCAACCCAGGAATATGATTACAATTTCAAGATCCTGCCTTGCAAGTGCAATTTGAATTTTCAACCGAAACATTGGATAGTGTCAAAAAAATGCTGTGAGGAGGATCATTCTTTTTCATAGAGGGGAAGCATTTTGCCCTTATATCACAACCCACTCCTGAGGTCAGTGGTCTCACTAAAACAACATAAGAAAAAAAAGCTTTTCTAGCTTCAGTGCAAACAAGGAGAAATCAATGAAAGGAGGTTAATATGTTAGTGAAAGGAAAAAAAGCTTTTAACAAAAATGAAATCAAACAGAAGAGTAACTCTGTAACAAAAATCTGTGAAAACATAAGAAAATGTTTTTTTTTTTTTTTCAATTAACTTGATAAGGTCATCTTTAAAATTATGTTTTTTTGGCTTCTCCCAACTTAGAGCAGAAAAAAAAGGTTGTAGGTAGGTTAGAACTTTTTTCAAGAAAATTTCTTTATTCTTGTTAACCGAGTAAGAAAATTCAAGATCTATAAGAAAAAAATTTCATGAAGGTTTAATAAAGTTATGAGTTTGCCTTGTTAGCCAATTGGTTGGGAGAGGACAAACAAACAATTTTTTAAAGATGGCCTATTAATATGTATTTTAGATATGAGGGGACAACAATATGACTGTAGTGAGCGTAACTTGCTGGGAAATTGGAGACCCAGTGAACATATAATTTGCTTTTCATCATATGGGATTAATTGTCATGCTTTTGACATACTCGTATGCTGTGAGGGTTTAATTTTCCATGGTTTTCATGGTGTGAAGGAAACAGGCCTCTTGAATTCATGCAAATCCTTACAGTATATATTTTCTATTTAACCCTGAAATCAAATCCTCTCAAACAAATACTAGTGTTTTTCTCAGATGAATCATAAAATATTTTACCCCATAAAAAAATAAGTGGTATAACAAAGCGTATTTACACCTCCTCTTGAAAATTGGAAGGGTATACTGTAATAGGTATGTCCACCTATCTGTTATGCTATGGTTTACCCATCTCTTATCCGCAACTCTTCTTATGCTACGGGGGGGGGGGGGGGATTTTATGAAACTTGCAGAATCTTTATTACATATTGCCATTCTGCACCTTTGTGCTATTTTAATTTTTGATACGACACATATTTCAGGTTTCCTAGGCACAGCAAAACATGGAATTTGCCTTGATAACCATATGGAAGTGGGGTTATCATTTTGTGAGCTCATTGCTCACAGTACCTCTAGTTTATGCTACATTTAATAGGAACTTTTCTCATAAACATCTGATACACAATATACATGTACATGTAGAACACATTTTGGGTTTCAATGATTAAATATACCTTGATCTCTGAAGAGTATAGCCATTTATGATATTTCATTTGCAGGTAAGCTTAACACTTCAATTACTGAAGTTGATATTTCTATGCTATAGGGCCTAGTTGTAAAATACATTATGATGCATATACACATGTGTCACAGATGTTCAGATAGTTAGTTACTATCATTTCTGCAAATTTCTTGGGTGTTTAAAATTCTCATTTTGTCAGACCCATATTTTAATTTTTCTTGTGTAATGAGAACAGAAATGTCACACAGACAATGAAGCTATAAACAGTAACTATGCACACATTATAGGCCTATATAAAGACAAAATGTCAACACGAATTAAAATTTTAATTACTAATTTATTTAAAAATGATATAAACATATAATTAAATATTACAAACTGTAAAAATATGAAAAACATCATGCAGGCACGATAATTAACACTGATAGCAACTCCGTGTTAGATAGATTTGTATAAAAATCCAACAAAAACAATGTGGGCCACGCCCACTTATATTCGTTGTTATCTATTGATTTAAAAACGTCCTTTTATTCCTAAAATGTATTATATTTATATTTCACTTGATAAAAAATTACAATTTACACTTAAAAATACTATGCTTTTATAAAGGTTCATACAGATATTTATCAAATATCGCGATAAAAGTCTGCACCAGTGAGGTGGAAGGGCCGTCAACTAACCTTCAACATCATGTACGTAACCCTCAGCAAAGTTACTGTAGCCTTTCTTCAACGATTTGTCAGGAATATGTACGGCTTTTGACCATTCTAGTATAGTAAGGTCAGTTACATTCGGCAAGGAAACCAACGATCTGGACCACGAAGGTCTACTCAAAGAGGCTGGTGGCGGACTGCTTTTCGCCATGTTTATTTCACCGTTGTTATGTACGCTCAGCCTCGTTTTCGATTTTAATGGCGGATGCGTGAATAGAGGCTATAGACACACAAACCCACAGGGAAATGGCACATTTTATGTCCAGTTGTAAAATTTCTCAGTCATTTGAGAAATTTTCTGTCATTGTTATTAACTGATCAACTTAAACTATTATTTAGTTAAATGGACATGTTGAAAAAAAAATGGTATAACTGCACTCCACCATTCTAGAAAAGAGAGATGCTGATCCGAAAAGAGAACAACCTGTTTTAAAGTTTTACATTTGTGACATTTCAACATTAATGTGTGTTTTTCTTTAATTTCACAAATATTTAACTAAAACAATTTGTTTGTGGATGCTTAACATAGATAAAAAGTTGGCCTTAAGACTTACATGCTTAAATTGAAGCAACTAATGATAAGATCTGCTTAATAAGAGAGTAGACAAATAAATCTTTGAAGCATTGCATTGTAATGCTTAGTGCTATAAATCATTGCATTAATACTTGACATTCTCAACCGCTTATGCCTTAGGTGTTGGAACCAGAAGGGCTAGAGGGCTAAGCTTGAAAATTGGGGTAAAACTTTTTATGTCTCCCTTCAAAGAAGGGAGGGCATATTGCTTTGCTGCTGTTCGTCGGTCGGTCTGTTGGTCCATTTAGTTTCTGTTCATTTTCTTCACAATCGTTGCACATACTGAAATGAAAGAGCTAAAGCCACGAATTATCAATATCCGCCTTTAATTTTTGACAAAGTTTAAGTTTAAAATCACGAAGCTTTTCATATGTTATCTTGTAGAGCACAATGTCATGGTACGCTACATATATTTTTTTGGCACACAGGTCACCGTCATTAGCACATGCGCAGAGACAAATCTACCTATGAAGTTAAAAACTTCCTAAAAACGCCGATTTTACGGCAGTTATTTCGAAATTTGAATGTGGCCACACTCAAGTACCTTTTCCAAACTTTGCATGCATGAAAATATTACATATATGCACCTTCATGCAAAATATCCCAGAGGTACTCGCGTGTGGCCAATATCAATTTTACAATTTATGAATGTTGAGTTTCAGAAATTGAAGCAGGATCCTCCATTTCAGTAGTAATCTATAAGTTCATTATATGCGTAAATACCCTAAATTAGTTATTAGTACATCAGATTTATTCTTGATAATTATATAATCCAATATTTGTCAATAATTTTGTGATAGAATATCTTAAATTGTCATCTAATGTGTGTTCTTTCATATAAAATTTAAAATTACGCTCTTTTCTTTCATGCTTACGTACATGATACAATGATGACGTCATAATTAGAGCGTGAGGTCTAATACATCTTAGCAAAAATAATTTGAAGAAGTTTGTCAAAACAATTTTATAATTAGAAAAAAGTGTTGAGAATTTATTTGTGTCGAGTTTCCAAATTGTTGTCAGCACTAGATGTTGAACGTAATACTTGTTTTAAATCTTTATAACATAAAAAAAAATGCCTTATCCGAAGTTGATTTCTAAAATTCTTGCAACTCTATGTGTATTCTAGGATACCTAAAAAGTAAATAGTTTTACTTGTTAAAATCACAAAGCTATAAAACGCATGCTCTCTCTCTCTCTTTCTTTCTCTCTTCTCTTTCTCTCTCTCTCTCCGTAGCTTTTCCCTTGTTTATAAACCTTTTACGATGTCTTAGAACTTATTCTTTGGCATACCTTTAAAAAAACGATGCAGATTTTTTTTTCCTGAACGTAAAAAGAAAGAAGAATTTATTGTAAACTAATAACTCTGAAATTGAATAACTCATGATGATCTATCTGCACACTTAAGCTTATACATTATAGAAGAAGTACATCTCGATCGTAACTACAATAGAAACTTGTCAAATGTGTCCGATATTCTGTAGCATTTAAATTCATTTTGAGGTAAATACCGAGGTTATCCGATTAAAATAAAAAGGTGTCAAATGTGTCCGAAATTCTGTAACATCTAAATGCATTTTCAGGGAAAATACCGAGGTTATCCGATTTAAAATAAAAATGTGTCAAATGTGTCCGAAATTTTGCAACATCTTAATGCATTTTCAAAAAAAAAAAATACCGAGGTTATCCGATTAAAATAAAAACGTGTCAGACTAACGATTTGTGCACATTTAATGAATGAAAATAAAAATGGATTTTGAAACCTAATTTATCTTCTAGTAGTAATTGATTTGCATTGCAGATTTCTCAGTCACATCTAGTGATCAGACATAACATGGATCGGACATATTACTGAATTATCTACAGATAGAAGAATTTAAAAATCTGCAGAAGTGATGTAAAGCGTTACTTGGGGAAGACAATTATTTAAAATAAGTGATAAAAAAATTAACCTTTCATTTTCACTCTATTTTATATACATAACACCTATATATCTCAGTACTGTGAACGCGAATTGGGACATATAATTTTGTTTCTTAGGATGCCCCTCCACTATGACTGGTGGTTAGATTGGTTTCGCTTCAAATATTAAAAAAAAAACTGTGGCAATGTAGTGATTTTCACGGATAAAGGAGCAGGAAGAGGG